GATAATAATAATACTAATAATAATAATAAACTTTATTCAAGTGTCAGATTCTTTAGCTATCTAAGCTAATTGGGGACACTATGAAATAAAAAGAAATATGTACAGCAATAAACTAAAATAAGAAGAGTTAAAAATTCATATATACAAAGCAAGAAAGATCTAAGAACTAGATAAAGTGCATTCCGACCCACATTTGTCTTCCGTCAAGTGACCGGCTAAATTAATTTTTCTGATTTTTTTTTAAATTTATCAATTTCAGTTGATCTTTACTAAAGCCGTGAAGGGTCTATCAAATGGTTTTCAAGTTGGGTATACAATTCTATGGATCGCCATGACTGATTCAGTTGACTGCACTCATGACTTAAGAAGGCAATTTACCATCCATGGTCAGCGATCCAAATGACTGCACTTTTCAAAAGAGTCTCCCGACTGCGGTGAATTCTTTCAACAGTGACTGTGCAAATGTTAGGAGTAATTTCTCAACTTCCACCATTCGTGTAACCCACTATATATTTAAGCTTTCTGGGACGGATTTTAGGTATAATGGCTATCGATTGGCCAGCGGATAGTAGAAGCCTTGTTGACGTTTACTGTCTCCTTACGGGCACCCAACGACAATTTTTGGAAAACATCTGTTAGGAAGACGATTTGAGATCTAGAATTTTCGGAACATTTGTTGTTCAATTTCTTGCTTGCATGCCTCTCCTAGGATTTTCGAACCTCCCAAAAATGGTATAATTGCCCATTTTTAACGGATTTTTACCATAAAAAGGTCACCTAGAATTTTCGGGAGCCTTTTTTCTGGCTGAAAATTTCGAAAAGGTAAGTTTTGATCTCTATAATTTTCGGATCACTAGACTTTCAGCTAGGAAATCCGAACAGATGAAAAATTTTTAGGGGATACAAATATGCCTATATCTACAGGCAGGTACAAAAGTCGGACCGGATCAACTCGGACCGCCAGTCCGGGTCGGATCAACTCGGATCGAATAGAAAAATAAAAATAAAATAAAATTGGACTCGGATCAACTCGGAGCAATCAAAAAAATTAAATTAAATCAGCAAAACTGAAAGTTTAACCCATTTGGAGGGTAAAAAAGGCCAGATCATCCTTTTTTTCTCCGTGGCTTTCAGGCGCCATTTTGTTTTACTAGCGCCAGTTCCTCTCGGATCATGTTTTTAGCTCGTGGTTGTGGTTGGACAGTAAACAAAATTAGAAATGATAGTTTCAGTCGCCCAGAATGTATATATTTTCTTATTTATTAGACTACTGAATTATTTATGAGAAAATCATCAAAAGCCTGGTCTGTTGATCGCATTTAGATATTTACCGAAGACTGTTTGTTTGTTTGTTCCTGTTTGTTTTTTTTTTTCTGCAGGACTTCTGAAACTTAATTTTAATGATACACTAGTGAGCAGCACACATACATTTCCAATGAACAATTTCAACTTGGAAGGGTGAGCAGCACAGCATTTCGCCCAGGACAAGCTCGCCCAGGGAAATTTCCATGCCCAAGGCAAGAATCGAACTCGCGACCCTCCGGTTCAGTAGTTGCAACGTCCGATAAACATGTAGTATTCGGAGTGTCGTGAGTTCAATTGTGGCCTAGGGTACGTAAATTTTCGTTGTCCCGGGCGAGCATGATTTCTCCTCCTTCCAAGTAGAAAATGTTCACTGGAAGTGTATGTGTGCTGCTCACTAGTGTATCATTAAAATTAACAAACATAAAAATAAAATTAATTTACGCAACCACGAGTTCGTGAGAAAAAAGCAAAATGGCGGGTGAAAGTTAAGTGATACCGACTGATTTTATTTTTCTTTTTATAATCCGGGTTGTTTTTTTTATGATCCGAGTCCAATTTTATTTTATTTTTATTTTTTTATTCGATCCGAGTTGGTCCGAGTCGATCCGAGTTGATCCGACCCGGACTGACGGTCCGAGTTGATCCGGTCCGACTTTTGTACCTGCCTCTATATCTACCGTTTAAATACTAAACTACGTTCGACAATGTTATGTTTAAGTGGTTTTCAACTATATTCTCGTTGGGTGCCCCTAACTCCTGAATTATCACTTCTTAATAACTGATGATGAGCTGACTGATGAAAGGTTTACTGAAGAACTTAAAAAATACTAAAAAGCTACTGCTGTCTGACGCTTCAATAATACGGCCACTATTAATAGCTCATTGTCAAGGCAAAGTGACTGTTTCTTTGAGGTTTGAGTATCATAGCAAGTAAAAAAAATTGTTTTGTTTCTTTCATGGTTAATAATTTTAGCGTGAATAGAGTCAGAAGACAACACTGTGTTCGCCTCATTTACATTCAAACCACGGTATCGTGGTAGTCTCATCGAAACGTCGGACACGGACAGCCTTAGTTTTTGACAGACGGAATATTAACGTTTAAGAAACAGAGGCGCGCTCACGTTATCACTAAACTAGACCCCCATAAAGTGGGCGTTCATTGGGTCGCCGACTGCTGCGTGTGATGCAGTGGTTTATTTTTTTGGAGGCTTACTCATCATCTTTCCCGCGCCTTTAGTTGGGATAATTGACCAATCACAAACGTTGTGATTGTGAATATTTGTTGAATATTTGAGAATATTTGTTGCAAAAAGTAGAACTCGGGCTTACTTTGCGCAACATGTTGCCGCAATCTGCAACATTGAAATTTGTTGCGTGACAAGTTTAGAGCGAAGGTCACGGTGGTAACACGGGCAACAACGCTTTTCAACATGCAATGCAACAATGTTGTGCGACAAGTTGAGCGAAAATGTTGCCCGTATTACTTAACCTTTACGGAGAGTATCCAGAATTTCGTCTTCATCACGTCCCAATTACGTCAGTAACTTAACGCATGACTTATACTTTCTGTGAAAAAGATCATGTAGAAATAATGCCCATGTCTCCGTCTTCCCCCAGGGTAAGGATCCCGGGTCAACCAGAGAAATTTGTCGGGGAATATAACGAAATAGATTGGGGAGAGGAAATTATGGCAAGAGAAGGGTTGCAGCTCACAAGCTGAAACTTGGCAAGTTTAAAATATGTTGATGAAAAATTTTGATTGACAGGTAGAATTTGACATTTTCGTTGTTTCCATGGCAAGATGAACGATTGAATACTACCTTAAAATTTCACTTTTACTCAGTTTACAGAAAATTCACTCATTAGATTTTCCTATAAACTTGCACACAGCTTACTGTAATTAATAATTACCATTTGAAACTTATTTGACCAAATTTTAACAGAAGGATTTTCAGATAATCAGTAATAATAGAATTGTACTGTAATTATTAAATGTGTCACAAAAATCGTCTGTTCAAATTCCATTTTAAAGTTCTCATTATTCAAAATACGATAAAAGTAAAAATTCTGCCAAATATCACAAATTTTAATGAGAAAAGTTTGAGAAATCGTCTTCTGTGTACCATTGCTTTTTCGCCGCCATGTTTGTTTGTCTAAGTTAAAACACTCGCCGTCACGCGAGTTACCGTTTACCGCCGTCAATTATAACAGCCAATTAGCGTAATTAATGGTCCAATGCGAACTCGACATGTTTCAATCACCAGCACGTGAGTAAACACTACGTCAGCAAACGAGGACAACCTACAAGCAAAGTTGCAAAATGAAATGTGTATGACGTAATCTGAAAGTAAAATCCGGGAATTTTCGCAAGACAGTGTATCTTTCCAAGAAAACTTGTTTCAGCGATGACAGCGAAGAAACTGTGTCAGATTTGTTGTTATTGAAGCCACATTATCTCTTGATAGTTCCATAACTTTGTAATTTAACGACTCCCTCTCGGTTATTTGCTCGTCCATAATAATTTTCAGCGGCTAAACAATGATAGTACAAGTATTCGTGGACAAAATTTCTCTCCTCACCAAAGAGAAGATCTTGATTATGATACTTTTTGTTTACAAAAACCAGTCGGCAGCCGGTAGCAAACAGATCGTTGTCGAATAGAATTTGTTTTGCAGCCGGTGTCCTATTCTCTCTTTAGGAACATTTTACCTTCTCTTTGAGCTTTCTATAAGCCATCCTCGATCGATGGTTGACATTTCAAATACAGTAACATCTCTTTGAGCTTTCGATAAGCCATCCTAGCCTTGTTCAATGGTTGACATCAAAGCAACATCTCGGACAAAACAGCACAGTTTAGAAATGTTATGTTTGGTTACGTTTCCCATGCGAGACGTGTAAGGTGCTTTTATGGTCCTTGCTTACAGCCGTTCGCAATATATTCCACCAGCTTTATGCAGACTGCAAGTATCATTAAAATTCCAGTGAATCAATCAAGTGAAGCCTTGTTATTTGAGGCGCATATCAGGGAGAGTGTTCTTTGAGAAACAGTTGATCCAGGCGACTTTGCCTTGTTAAATTCCCCCACCCTTGAGGGAAATTGCCAACTTTGCACCGCCCATTTCACAATCGCCCTGGTTGGCCTGGGGTCCTACCCAAGCAGCGTTACTCTATAACCTGACTAAAATAGTAAAAGGAGTCTCAATCTTTAATTCTTTATGAAAACGTGCAAGTGCTAGTTCTCGCCCTTTGATGTCATAATTCTACCAACTTTTAATGTTTGGGTTTTTCATCAGACAAATATTAGTGCAATTATAAACTACGAATCGTAAGGTTATATGGTAATGGTTTTATATTGGTCGGTTACTGGGCTTTTCAATATACGAGAACTCTCAAGTTTAAAAGCTAACTACACAATTGCATTTTTCACTGTCGTCAATCATAGTAACGATCACAAGAAACGAACCCTCAAGCACAGAACGAAAAACACAAAACGGATTGAAATCTACCAATCACAGACCATGACCTCATCAGCTCGTTGAACTAATTAAAACTTATGTTTTCTCCGAGGTCCGCTAAGAGTATTGACAGCAGCAAAGAACTCAAACGTTAGTTGGCTTTTGAACTTTAAAGTTCGCTTGCTTTTTTTACAACCACAGTAAAAACTGATTTTTTTCCCTAGATCCCAGATAAATGGCATGGCAAACAATAAGTACAGAAAGATTACCAGCACTGAACACTCGGGAAGCGTGAGCTTTTTCTCATCTCTATTTTTCCAATGGATCAACATTCTTATAAAGACAGGGAGTGAAAGAGCTGTTGATAAAAATGATCTTTTACCTCTTAAAGAAGAAAACACTACTTGTTTTTTGACAGAGGAGCTTCAGGCAAAATGGACCGAAGAAACAGATAATAGCAGAATTCAGGATGTTAAACCAAAACTTTGGAAAAGTGTATTTAAGATGCTAACGGCGAAGGACTCAGTAATCCTCATTACAGCTGGAATTATAAACACAATTTGCCGCATCTTCCAACCACTGCTTCTTGGGTACCTTATAAAATCTCTGATGATTACAAGGCTACAACACAATTATTTTCTCTATGGATGTGCTTCCGCATTGGGGATAAATGAATTGATCTGTTCTCTTAGCATGCACCAATTTGAATACCGATGTGGGGTGTTTGGAATCAGAATCAGCAGCGCCCTTAAAGGATTAGTCTATATGAAGGTAAATTACTAAAAGAATTAAGATAAAATCCATTAGGAAATTGAGTAATTTTAATTTTCAGTGGACAAAAACCTTGTATCAGAATAATTACAAGCTTATTGCATTTTTTTTCACATTTTTCAAGGGCTATGAATGTAATAAATTGTATGAAATAACTGCGAAGAAAAGGTTCTTGTTGGAGCCCGAGAAGACAAACTTCAAAAGCCTCAAATTTCACAAGATGAAATCTTTTGCATGACGAATTTACCTTTGTTTTCTCAATTCCTGTGAAAATTGAAGTTCATTTTCTCGGGCTCCCGTAAGAAATTGTCTTTGGTGTTATTACAGATAACTAATTACATCTATGGCCCTTGAAAAGTGTAAAAATGAATGCCATATGGTTCAAAATTCTGGTATGAGGTTTTTGTCCACTGAAAATTACAGATTTAAAGATGGATTCCGTCTTAATTCAAGATGTCAAGTAGGCCAAACTTAAAGGTAAATCAAGGGTTAGCTTAAAAACACTACGCTATTAGCGATGTCTGAGAAAGTGAAACAAAACGAATGATTTTTAATAGCTGAATCAATATAATCAATTTGCCAACGCTAGTTCTCAAGCTAGCCTCTCCTTAAAGTTAATAAACTTAACAAAAAAAAACAAGAGAACAAGAGTATAGTTTTTATAGTTACTATGACAACGACAGAAAAACAACAATAAAAGACAGCTACTAACCTTTTGTATGGGTTTTCATGAAGAGGTCCTGGGGAAAGAAAAGAAAAATCGATTCTTTTATGGTGGCTCCATAAGGTTTTTTAGGGGCAATACTTATCAAGTTTAAGTATTAAATAAGTCGCCATTTGACAAAGATTTGGGAAAATGACTGCAACAGCTGTATTAGATAAAGATGAAAATTTGTTGTGATTAGTGTTACAATGACATCGGAGTGTCTATAGCAAAGAAATGACGTCATTACCCATGTTACTTGCAGCCGTATTTCTTGGCACTGAGAGGCGTTTTCTCCAAAATCGTTGACGGGAGCGTTTTTCTCCAATAGCTGCCTCGATGTTCGTGAAGTTTGAGTGTTTTGTTGGGTACTGATGTTCACGTGAAAATGAATCTTGGAGAAAATACCCTGAATAATTAGACGCTATCACTATTAAATACGAAATTTCGAACAAGAAATTAGAGCATTGTAGCCCTTATTTTATTGCCTTACAAGCTGTCAATGATCTTGAAACTAAAAGGTCATATAAAAGGACGGTTCATCACGAGAATCTCGAAATCTTAAAATGATCTATGGAACGATTTCAAAATTGTTTGCTCATTTGTTAAAGTAAACCAAACTATTTTACAAAAACCGCTATCAAGAGCACCTCAATGCAGGCTAATCAAATCCCGCTTTCTTGAGATAGGCTAAAGCTATCCCAGTGATCTTTTCCAGCAGGTTTTATTATTAGGTAAAATTGCATTTCAAGAGTGCTTCGTTTTCATAAGAGAACGGCCGAACATCAAGATTGTCCAGAATTTGCTGAATTTCTGATCATAAATTTATTTCAAAAATATCTCGATAACCCTGTGATAGATTTCGCTCAAACTTCAAGAAAATCGAGGCAGCTATTGGAAGAAAGAGCACCCGTGAAAGATTTTAGAAAACCCCTCCAAGTGTCGAGAAATACGGCTGCAAGTAAAATAGGTAATGACGTCATTTCGTTGCTATGAGGCTCGATGTCATCGCAACACTGATCATAAAAAATTTCCATCTTTGTCTTATAAAGCTGTAGTGGCCATTGGTTAAATTTTTGTTTATGCACAAAATTGGGAGGTGAAGGCCCTGAAAAACCTCCTCGAGCCACCTAAAACTATTATTCACACTCGAACTGAAGATGACAACAAAGATCAAAGTTAAACACTTCCAAAGTTTTCATTAGAATAGACAATGACAATCATCATCACCACCACCACCGTCACCATCATCATCATTAAAATAATCCTTTTAATAACCCTCAACATCATCATCGTCGTTGTCATCGTCGTTGTCATCGTCGCTATCATCATCATCATCATCATCAGTCCTTTTCGTGTCCAAAGACACATACGTGGCGAAATAATCAAAAGACCATTCTCTGGATTTTAAGTATCGATATACTGTCATAAAAGTTGTTAAAACGGAGCTCTTCTTGCTGGCGACGACCTTATGTAAAGACAGATTCCTCAACTTTGTGCTTTCTTGCAGACTCTCCTTCTCAGCAAGGATTCGTTGCTTAAGTTTTCATCCGGTCGAGTTATTGATCTCGTATCAAACGATGTTCAGCGAATTGAGGGCGATACTTTCCAGTTGTTTTTTGAGGGAGCTCGATCTCTTATGGAGCTCGTAATCGTAACATGTTTACTTGTCAACCTAATCGGATGGCAGACTGTGATGGGAATCCTTTTACTGTGCATGCTGATGCCATATTTTGCTGGATTTTCCTATGCTGGAGCTATACTGCGCCTGCGTACAGCAGCGCTTTCTGATCACCGGATCACATTGATCAAAGAGGTTGTTACTGGGATTCGCGCCATCAAAACAAACGCATGGGAAGACGAATACAGAAAAAAAATAAAAAACGTCCGAAGGTAAGGAAACTTTAACACAATACACAAACACAAACAAACAAACTTTATTTACCTTATACTAACGTTACAAAACAATTACCTGGATAGATTGTCCAGGAAGGAACTAAACCGACTTGTTTTAAACACAGTTACACATGCAAACATATTGCTTTTTCCTGAAAGTATCGAAAAAAGTGAAAAAAGTTATGAAGTTATGAAAAAAGTTCCCCTTTGTGAAATTCAGCACAAAGAGTTTTAAGAGCTATGTCGTAAAAGTAATTAATTGGAACAGACCGCATACCGAAGACGTATTTCCGGTCGTCGCTAACACGCGTACTAAATCAAATCAGAAACAAATAAAAAGTAAATGTCCTGATTAATACAGGATAATTAGGAAGTAAAAAAACCTTACGGGAGTAAATCCTGTTTCGTTCAGAATTAATCGCCTCCTCATTTCTCGATCTATTCTTCAAGCAAGCGAGACTAAAACCGCTGTAAGAGCGTTCTTTTTCCGTCACAAATTGTGAACAAAAAACAAAGATGGTGCACCGTCAGGGAGATTTCAACATAAACTACAGAAATCTTACCTTTCATTTTGATTTGTTTTGCTAACATGCTAAATTATTCGATATCTTCGGTTTTGTGGGACCCATTTTCCCGAAAAACTCTTCTCGAGGAAAGCTCTCCTGCACGAGTAGGACAGGTATGGAGAACAGTCGAGTCTGCAGGTAAACTCCTTCGTATAAGAAACTCAAGAAAGCAGTGCCATTGATGATGGCCTCCGATTGGGCACAAAAATATTTTTTGTGCCCAATCAGAGACAAGCATTCGAATGAGTCGGGGAACTCGTTCTTTAAGCATAGCATCCCAGAGGCTCTTTCTCTCATTCTTGAAAATTTTCGCAGCCGTTTTTCCCGACCCAACAGACCGATCCTGGGTCTCCGAGGATGTTGTGGTCGTTGATCAAAAAGTGGTCTACTGTTCTGTTTTTGAGCCACTTAAGCCCTTCTACTAGGTCTGGGTATTGCGTCGCTGTACACGTTATTGACGTCAAAGTACAGGATTTTAACTATAGCTTTTTTGGGATAATTTTCTTACCTCCGTCACTGTACTCCAAGGAGCTACCAGCACGGATTCCATTTTTGACGAAAATGTGCATGCAATTGTCTTTGAAAATCTCCAGCTTAATATTCGCCTTTTTCAAAAGCGCTTCCCAGCTCAAGCTCGCCGGCGTGATATAGTTGTTTGCAAGGGCCAGCTGATAGATGCTATGAGAAGTTAAGCTAAGTTTCGCAGAACTGTGGAAGTTTTCAAAAACGTATGCCAGAAGCAGCACGTCATTTGTGAGGTACAATTAGTGATAATGCCCCAAGGTTTTGCACCTAAAAGCTTTTTAAACCTTCTGCGCGAGGTCATAATCAGAGTCACTGATTCCCTTCTTCTTTAACGCACTACAAAACGTTTCCTCCTGCGACAACTTGTACGGGTGCTCTCCTTTTCTTACTCGAGCGTTTCTTTGCTGGACTCGTACTGCTTCAGAACGTCATCCTTTTTCAGGATGTCCTCTTTAGATTTGTCGATAATAACACTCAAACAAATTTTCGAGCCTTCTGTGCATCAGCTGACAGCTTTCCCTAAAATGAAGGTTTCCCAGCGAAAACCTTATGTATTGCTCCATATTGTTTGCAAAGTAGTCCTCGTCATTTTCTCCAATTTCCTGTATGGCATGCTGCGCGTCGTAATTTCAGGCGTTGTGGAAAAATTCCCGGGATTTTTGTCTTTTCTGGGTTGAGCATAAAACACGTCATGTTGCAATGCTCCTGTACCGGTTCGCGTAGTTTAAAAATTTTCTGCAAGCAGTATTTAAATGGATAATACGGGTCACAACTTTCGAAATCAAAGGTAAAGCGTGGGCAAGTATAAGCAGTGGGTGGAATTCCCATCTTAGAAACATCTCCATGCTGCTACTCAAGAAATTAAGCAAGTGTTTTAATACTTCTTTCCTTTTTTTATTTATAGCGAAGAAATCAATTTGATCGGTAAGAAGAGCGCTGTTATGTCGGGCGTTGCTGCTCTTCAATACATTTCATCATCAATGGCGACTTTTGTCACTGTCATCACTCTTGTACTAACTGGTCAGCCCCTGACGACAGTTAACGTCTTCACGTTACTCTCCTTTATCAATCTGCTGAGATTGAGCTTCTGTGGGGACCTGTCCTATGCATTCATCCAATCCTATGACGCATATGTTTCACTGAGACGAATACGAGACTTCCTTCTTTTGAACAACCTTGAATCAAATAACACCAGGATGTATCAGCAGGAAGGAGCAGAAACATTCTTACCTCACAAGTTAACAGATCCTCGACAAAGTAATATCTTAAGCGTGACACGTTTTACCCAGCAAAAGCGACAGATCAGCCTAGACGACGAATTAGTGCTCCAAAATATAAACTTTACAGTTGAAAAAGGAAATTCAACAGTTATAACCGGACCAGTGGGCAGTGGCAAATCTACTCTTCTGTCAGCAATTGCTGGCGAGGTACCAGATCGAAACGAGGCCATAACCTACAAAGGAACTGTTGTTTATGTGCCACAGATTCCCTGGATATTCTCTGGAACTATTAGAGAAAACATTTTGTTTGGTGAACAGTACGAGGAAGCTAAGTACAACAGAGTCATTGAAGCATGTGCTTTAACTCAAGACATCGAGAAGTTTCCAGACTGTGACCAAACGATCGTTGGAGAGCGTGGCGTGGTGCTTAGTGGTGGCCAGCGGGCAAGAGTAAGCTTAGCACGCGCAGTCTACGCCGAAGCAGACATTTACTTGTTGGATGATCCCTTAAGTGCTGTAGACTTTAAAGTTGCTCAGCACATTTATAGAGAATGCATAAAAGGCTTACTCGGACAGAAAACCCGATTAATAACTTCTCATCAGGAACGGGTCATGCGAGAAGCCGATGACGTTATCGTATTATATAAAGGCCGAATGTTGGGTAAGGGAAGTTTCACTGAGCTAAAAGACAGTGGTATCCTGAATACAACTGTTGAATCAATTAATGAGAAAGAAAACGGATCAGATTATATTGTTGGTCAGAAAAGTGAAGACGAAGATGACATTCCTGACATGAGTGGTAGACCTGTACCCAGTGAAGTGCAGGGTCTCCCTTTATCAAAAGAAGATCAAGCCATCGGAGCGGTATCCGCAAGGCTCTACTGGAACTACTTTAGAAGTGGAGTACCTTTGCTGGCAATAATCACAGTAATCTGCTTGTTTCTCATTAGTCAAGGTGAGGCCTTAAGATGACCTGAATTATACAGTTATGTATCACCTCACGGGAAAAACTATGATTTTCACTTATTATTATGTTCATAATTATTCATATTATCATTCATATTCGTTTCTGATTAGCGCCAATCCCCCAGATAATTCTTTTTAGTAAAATCCAACTAGCGTCTATTATCAACACTGCGTTCTGATTGGTTGAATAACTACTAAGCTATATGTTACAGCCCACTAGTAGCGAAAAGCGCCTGCTTTTTGGCGGCAAAAAAGGATTAAAGTCTGTCTTTAACTACCTAAAAAATTTTTATTCTCGATATTTTTGACCAACTAGTTGGATTTTACTAAAACAATTATTCCTCTCGCCCTCATGGCCTCTGAGTCAATAGCCCATGAGGCCGAAATTGACTCAGAGCCCATTCGGACTCGAGGAATAATTGTTAAATAACCACCCGGTGGTTATTTGCTGGAAGATGTAGGTAATATACAACCGATACGACTACGTCAAAAAATAGCTCGATGGAGGTCTTCTACTTTTTAAGGATTTTCTGCAGCAAAAAATAAACCGTGACGAGAAACAAGGAAAGTTTTTGAAGAGATTCCACGAAGAGGTAAGGTTGTTAAGAAAATAAAAATATTTCAATGAATGATAGAACAATTATTGAATTCAGGTTTCATATATCGCAAACTGTCCTCAGCCTTCGGCCTCTGTGGATAACGCCCGCCTTAATCTGAAAATTTTTTTACATCATACTCAGCCTCATTCCATAATGTTAAGAACTCGCTAAGGGTGATAATATGACTTCGAATGGACATCCGTACTTTAATTTTGACGAATGTGCTGGAAAACAGATTCTAGAAAGTCAGTTTATTATTGCATTTTACAAAAAATAAAAGTAGCTCAAGCAACTTTTCTTTTCGTACGATCAAATCGGCCGACTCCGCATCGTCTGTGAAGAAACATATCCTTAGCCAAAATGTCTTTTCTTTTTAGGGGTTAGCTAGCTAGGTGAAAATGAGTAAGTGTCATGACTGGCGCTGGCTATGCACCGAAGTGAATCCAGTGCAATTAAATGTCCACGTGAAAACTAAGTGATGTGTGACGTCTGTTATGAAAGTGCAGACTGCTCTATCAAAAATACAAGATTGGTTTTATTGTCAAATTCCGACCGTTGTAATTAGAATTGCCCCTCACTGATAAGAAAAGAATAAGAGTAAGATTTTGCCTTTGCATATAATGGTTATGGTTAGACTGTCATCGTAAAATGTCTCCATGGCGGCAAACGGGAAGGACGACAGCGATAGGTAGTGTTGCTCACTTACAGTAGCGTCGTTATGAGATAGTCACCTGACTTGAGCAGTAAAACACTCCAAAAGGAGTGACTGATAACTAAAAAAGACTGTTAACTACCAGGGTTACAGCAAAAACGCAAGGTAAAAGAAAGGAGGAGGGAGGGATGGCATCTAACCTCGCCTAAGAACAAGATTATGGTGACTCGTGGAAGAACCAGCAGATCTATACTCGCACAATAGTACGGAAGGGAGAGCAAAAACAAGGTGCGAACCGATAGAATTGTGTTTTTACTATGATATATCCTATTTTGCAAAGAAATAAATTTTCTTAGATAATCTGTGATGAGCTATGTTTACACATTTAAATATTCAAGAAATATTGAATAACGCTGAGTATGGTAAAGAAAATTATGCCGACCGAGGAGGGTGTTATGCAACGAGGTCCAAGGCCGAATAAAGGGAAGACAGTCTCCGGGAACTACACATCTTGATATCATACAAAAGCCTATCATTATTTTCCTGATATTATTTTTAGCAATCATGGTTTACTGCGATGTGTGGCTGTCACGTCTGACAAAGAAACGTCCAGGAGATCAGACGAATGAGTCAGACCTCATCATCTATGGCTCCCTTGTTGGGGCGTCTTTGATATTTCTCTTCATTCGAGCGTTTGGTTTCTATCTGCTATCTTTACGATGTTCTGAGTGTCTTCATGATAGAATGGTGGCGGCTATTCTTCAAGCACCGGTCTTTTTCTTTGATTCAAATCCCTTGGGAAGAATCATGAATCGGTTTTCTAAAGATATTGGCGCCATGGATGAAGTACTACCCAAAACGTTTTTTAGAGCAATCCAAAGGACGTTGCTGATGTTCACCTCAATTCTTCTACCAACTGTTATAAACCCTTGGCTTCTGTTTGCTGTTATGCCAATAGCTGTGTTAGCGGGACTTGTTTCAAGATATTACTTAAAGACGTCAAGGGAACTAAAAAGATTGGAGTCGATTAATCGCAGCCCTGTCTATTCTCATTTTTCGGAAACCCTCGATGGACTGGAAACGATTCGGACAAGAAACCGGGAAGGAAATTTCACGGATGCATTTTGCAGGTATGTCACACTTAACGCAGTTTTTTTAATTATCTAAGTATATAATCATTTAAGAATAAAAATCAACGATAAAAATTTTGAATGACGTTTCGATGATTCGCTCATTTGAAAATGAGCGGAAATTTGAAAATGATGAGCGAATCATCGAAACGTCATTCAAAATTTTTATCGTTGATTTTTATTCTTAAATGTTTATCGAAAGCGTCTCTTATTAAGTATATAATCTTGAGTTAAATGAGTTTACGATTTAAGCTTACTCTGTAGAGGATAAAGTAACTAGGGTAAAGTGAGTGCACGAACCCTTATGTAATGAATTCCCCCGTGCTAATAACAGGACATTCTTGGACTTAGTTCATATACAAAAATGATACCGCACTATCCCGATATAGAGTGCCCATGTTATGACGACCGATCTCTGCATGATTCTCTTGGCCGGCATTTTGGTATTTAGGGATTTAATAGTATTTTTAACACCGCAACTATACTGTCGACGGCACGGCAAGATTCCTTGCAACGCACGTAGTCTTCTGCCTATGAAGACATTTTATGGTTTAGCCCATGGGCCTTTCCATCTCAGGTAAAACGGCTATTTCAAGAGGATATAATGCTGTTTTAAGTCAATTCTGTGCTGAAGTCATAAGTTAGTGCCTTAACCCATACACAAAATGATCCTGAACAGCTATGAAGAAATTATCAAACAAATTTCATCAGGGAGCACTAGCCATAATAATGTTTTTGGTGATTTTTGCAAGCACGTCATTAGAACTTGAAAAAGTTGGCCCAGCTTTCTCAAGCTTCAATCCATGTCCATCCTAAAAATCCGTTGCAACAGACGACAGGGAACAATTTCAATGCCTAAATGTAATGTTAACTGGCAAAACTGGACCATTAGGTCCAGTTCAAACGTCCAACGTTTCATGTTCCGAAACCAATACCTATTTGGGTCGACCCAAATGACATAAGTTCGGCGGTTGATTCAGACGTCGAACATAATTAGTCGGACTCAATTCATTTTCACAATGTGCGATGATCTACAATGCTTATCAGTCAAATAAATTTTAGTCGTTAATTTTGGTGCATTAGGTTTAGTTCGGCACATGAAAAATTTGACGTTTGAAACGAAGTCGCTCCACAGTCGAAATTCTCATCGGACTTGATTGATTCAGACGTCGATTTTCTCATGTGCTTGATTTGAACTGGGACTGGAAATCGGTTGATACGCTGAAAAGGTTTTCACTTTTTGAAAAGATTACAAATAGCCTGACATAGTCCCTTTCTGCAGGGCTTTCACAACCGCGGACCAAGTGGTGGTATGTTAAACAAAGACAAAAAAAAGGTTTATAGCTACATCCATATTATTGTTGTTCTTAGGTACCAAGATATCCATACTCAGTCATGCATTATGGTTTTTGCCAGTCAGCGTTGGCTTGGTGTACGCTTGGATTGTCTCTCTGCTCTGTTGACATGTGCTGTGGCTCTTGCTGCAGTTTTTGTGTCTCAAGATGCTGGTAAATTCACTAGTACATGTAATGAGAAACGGAACTGGTTATTCCATGTTTATATGTGAGATTCATTTTTCAAGATTCCTTCCACCCTACGCAATATGCGATGCATTGGAATAGATAAGATGAGATGAGATGAGGTGATATAAAGCCTGGGTAGACTTTAGCGAGCCTCATCGAAAATGACATAAGTTCTTGAAATGGCAAGGAAAACTTTTCAGAGCCATGAAATCTGGTCGGATTTTTCTAATCTTAACAATAGGGCAAAAGACTGTTTCTTTTCCCACATAAACAGTGCTGCTTTTTGTGCTTCGATCTAATGTCCCAAAACTTGGAAAAATATACTGATATATTAACTCAGCTTATTGATCGTACCATATATAAATTCTTCCCTGTCTATCTTTAAGTTTTTATTGATCTTGATTAGGTTATGTAATCAGGAGCGGGTGAAAAGCGTGCAGAGAGATTAGAGTTTTCCCTGGTAGGTGTTCGGTTTTGTTTTGATGGATAATTTTCTCTTTCATTTCTTCCAGTGTTAGTTGGTCTATCTTTGGTTTACATAGTCCAGACCGTGAATCTAACGCAATATACTGTTCGTCAGTTGACGGAGGTCGAGACTCTAATGACATCAGTTGAGCGAGTGATGACCTACACAGAGCTGGAAGCTGAACCTGGATACAAAGTGGAACGAAATCCCCCGAAAATCTGGCCAAATGAGGGAAGTATCGCATTCAAAAACATAAGCCTAACGTACTATTCAGGGGGTCCTCGAATCTTGAAGAATATTACACTAAACATCAATGGAGGAGCTAAAATAGGAATTGCGGGCCGGACGGGTGCAGGAAAATCTTCCTTCGTGGCGGCGCTGATGCGCATGCCTGAAGCTGGCGGAGATATATTGATTGATAATATCAATATAGGCAGTATCAACCTCCGAGACTCTCGACGGACAATAACTGTTCTTAGACAAAATCCTGCCCTTTTTAGTGGAACGGTGAGGCAAAATCTAGATCTGATGGAGCAGTTTCAAGACGCAGATTTATGGCGAGCTTTGGAACAGGTGCAGCTGAAAAGTCTAGTAGAGAATCTGGAGGGTCAGTTGGATCATGAATTATTGGAGCACGGTGCAAATCTAAGTGTAGGTGAACGCCAGCTTATTTGCTTGGCTCGCGTGCTGCTTCAAAATAAGAAGATCGTCATCTTGGATGAGCCCACTGCACACGTGGATCCAGAAACAGAGCAAACAATCTGGAAAGTAGTAAGGCACAAACTGAAAAATTCCACGGTTATCACAGTAGCACATCGCTTAGACACAATTAGAGACTGTGACAAGATTTTAGTTTTAAAAAGTGGGGAAGTACATGTGTTTGATAAGTTTGATGTGCTATTGAACAAAAAAGGAGGAATTTTGAGCTAAATGAACACGTAACAAAAGCAGCCACATAAAACGGTCCTCCACCCACATAATAGACCATTTGCATTATGGAGACATTTTACTTTTACTACCAGAATCCTTTAGGGTTTTGCTTTCTTCTGCAAATTAGGGCTTTTGTTATTCAAATCTCTCTGGGATTACCAAATTTAAAAATGAAAGAAAATACGATATGAATCCTGGTCTTAGTAGTAACAAGACGTCATCGTGCAAATGGCTTATTGCGCTGACATTTCAAGGACGTTGCCCATGCCAGCGCAAATTAAGAGCCATTACCTGAGAAAATCGAAAATCGCACGACACTCGTCAAAAATTCGAATTTTTTTTTATTTTGCCAAAACATCCCTTTTAGTGACCTAATTTAAGGAAAAATAGTTTTGGGTTCAAACGATTCATTTTAAAGGAGAAATTAGGAAAAGTTTGAAAAATCGATTTTATGGTCGTTTTTCGCACAAAACACGGCAGGATGCAATGACAACTTCGAGAGAAGGGTGAACGCGTAAGAAACATTCCCTGACATTGAAACTTCACCGAATTATTATTTTGTTCTTACTCTTGAAAATCCTAAAAGAAAATTTGATAAACAATGCTTTACATTTTTATAATCGACAAGTGTAAAGAGGTCATATTTGTGACGTTAGACGTGCTAGAAAATGAAGGCCAACTTTGACTATTAAAAAAGGCCTCTGGTATATGCCGCTTGATCATAAAATCAATATAAAATGGAACCTTGGCTTTTGTACTAACTTACTGGAAAGTTTTAGCTCTGGAAATCAAATATCATCCTGACACCAAAGCAAGCGGTGAGAGCAATTGAATTGGGAAAGTTATGCAAATTAGACGGCTTGCGGACGGTTGTCAAACTAAAAGAAAGGTTTTACATGAAAGGATTACTCACCATTGCTTGTAACAGGTTTTTACGGCAAGGAAAGTTATTTCCAACTTCTTCTGCGTCGGTTTGAGTCACAAAATATATAATTTTTAGCCAAAAGACAAACGTACGTTTGCTCAGCAGCTGCGTCCGAATCCGGCCGTGAATCGAAATAAAGTCACAACACGTCGAAGCAAGAGTTGCAAGAATTTTTACTTCAGTCAGGAGGCAAAAGGAATAAAAATTCATCGCAAACTAATGACTTCGATTTTGAAAACCTTTCATCACTTCAATCGTTCGTCGGCTGATAATAAACATCGCACAAGATCGTATGACCTTTGGCGTGTGACCGGAAATTGGTCACAGGCTGTAGTCACGTCAGAATGCTGTCACGAAATTTTCGTAGCTGTTGTCAGCAATTTTAATACAGTTTTCACATTTTTTGACAAGAAATCCTCTCATCGCAGTAGAAACAGCCATGCATATTTATTTTTCTTTTATTTACCTACTAGGCTTTGAAACAGCTTTTTTGCCTTCGAAGTACTAAACAGGAGGGTACCTCGGATTCCAAGTGTCGTGAGTGATCCGTGGAAGCAGGTGGAAGCGAAAATTAAGACCAAAAAAGAACGAATATTTTGAATACTTAAGTAAAGCCACAGCTAAAAAAAAAAATTTGTTCAAAATATTTTCAAACCAAGAAAAAAACATACTTCGATCATCCCCGTGACTTGGAATCTGGCCAGAGTACCCCCTCCCCCTCCCCCTCCCCTCCTCCCCTATGCCGGGTCAAAATACTAAGTTCCCCCGGCCCAATGTCCCATAGTCAAGGGAGTATACTCTCTTGCTGTAGTAAAGAACTTGCAGAATAATACCAATTCTCGGTGGCCAACGGATTCAACGCTATAGTTCACTTTGGTTTTCCCTGTTGATTTTTTCGCTATTTGCTCACGATCAGGAGCCTATAACCCCAACCACGACCAAATTATGAAACCTGTTATTACCAGAAAAAAAAAAAACACAAAGAAACAGTCAGTCAGATAGACAGTACATAATAAAAAAGACCTCGATCAAGATTAAAAAAAAAATCAATACATGACACTGTCGAATACGAAAACCCAGAAACCATTTTGTGGAAAAAAGGTTCGCATACAGCTATCAGCTGCTTTTGTCCACAACTCGCCGGTAGAGGTGCGCGGAAACTAGTGATTGTGAAATGGCTTCAAACTATGATCCTATACTGTTGGAATATTACTTATCACAGAAAGCTACACCTGATTTCTTGTAGCAGACCCAATCCTCTTGGTTCGTGTGGACAAAGTAGCTCATCCCGGCTATTTGCACCATGCTACCATAGTCTCCCTAGATTCCCAAGCCTCGCACGCAGACTTTCCTGTCCCACGAACGTTAGGTAGGATTGTCGGACGAGCCAAAAGAAAGTGAAGGCTATAGGCTCTCGCGATGATGCAAGGAAGGTCGAGTATTATATTCCCCTATCCTGGTCGCCCAGGGTATAGACTACGAGTAGTCCCCCATTTTTCCTCAGGGATAGTAGAGCGAGCGAAACGCGAGTGCGCGTGCCTTTTCTCGCTTGGGGTAATTTTCACGCGCCCTCGCGTTTCGCTCGCTCTACTATCCCTGAGGAAAAATGGGGGACTACTCGTAGTCTACCCAGGGTAAGTCTGCGGAGGAGAGTGACTGAGGGGCTGTATGTTCGAAAAGTTGACTAACGCCCCCGGGACTAACGCTTTCCCCTGGATAAATCTATATCCAATAAGTAACGCAGTTGCTTCTTCTTATTCGCTTGATAGTGATTTCCTGTTGTTCAACGTTTGAACAACAGGGCCCTAAGTATTGTGTTTCGCCTTGCACTAAAAACCCATAAACCTTATAAATTTCACTATGGGACTTCAGCACCTCCCTTGAATGATCCATTTCGCTAAACGGGACCTCAAAACAACGATTCTGTGTATCCTAAGGGAGTGTATACTATACTTTCCTGGCTCTCGTCACTCACAGTGAGGTGATGGTGGCTTATACTTTAATAGACCTAACACAGTCGAACCTCCATGTGCGACCGCCAATCCAAAAGACCAAATTTTCCCAGTCAAAGCCTTACAGTTGGAACCTCCAGTAAACGACCACCTTCTGTAAGTGACTGCGACCACTTTTTGGGCGTCACGGTTAATTGTTTTCCATAATTCCTTAGAAAATATGAAGACCTTTAGTGACATCGTGGAACAACACATATCCTAACTTAGTAGATGTAGCCAACAAAGTGAAGATTCTGTTGTGATTCTAGACTATTCTATATCTCACTCACCTGAATCCCTCTTTAAATTGAGCATGATTTAAAAGCTGTATTTGTCAAAAGAGGTAAAAGATAATATTTTGCCAGGAATTTGTTACACCGCCATTTAATAGAATGTGCCTGGACCTCTTCTCGGAATAGACCCCATGTGGTCCGATTCTTCTAAAAGGCCACCTCCCGTTAGAGACCACTAAGTCTTTGCATTTTTGGTGGTCGCTTACTGGAGGCACGACTGTATTACTTTGACCTACCAGAGGCTTACCGATAATAAAGGGGATCTGGAAGGGGGCATGGATGCGACAATCACATCCCAGGTCGCTTACTTAAAATAGTGGACATCTAACTGACAATCAAAGTTTGTGCTTATTATTGTGATCTGGTGTTTACTCACCTCCCAAGCTACCCTGGGCGAGCCAACTTTTCCTCCATTTCCTTACAAAACTTGGTAAACCATTTACATGAGAAACAAAAGGTTGGTTCGGATAGACGCCTTACTACCAGTAGTGGGCGGGGTTGAAGGCTTCCGGAAGTCAGCCCTCCACTGAGCCGGTAGTGGTGGCCTCACCCTTCTAGCCCGGCTAATATTTCTCCACTTCATGGCTCGCCCAGCTAGCTGGGACAACACGGTCAAGGCTAGACAAAGACAGCATGCGCAAGCACTGTTGACTCGGACAAAGTGGTCAGTTTTTTCCTCATATAAACGCTCGCAAAAGTTGGCTCGGCTGGGAGGTTGACCTTCTCTCCGGCACGGCTTTTCTCCATCCATGGGTTCCAAACAGTCTTTTAACAGTCACGTTTGAAATTTATAGGAAAATGATGTAGCACTTCAAAAAGTAATAATAATAATAATAATAAAAAACACTTTTTCCACAGCCTGTCAATGCCTAGAAGGTGTCTATAAAAGAAATCAACTGCAGAACAGGAGTCAATTTCAGTCTTTTGCGCTTTTCACGCTAGCACTGCGAAGCTGACTGGGGGCGCGAGACACGCGCGATGCATGGGAAACAAGTTCTGCAGGCTATAAAAGAAATTTAAAAAAAAATAAAAAAATAAAGCAAGCCTGATTTTATTTCGATGAGTCTATTTTTTGTCGAAAGCAAACGTGAAAAATCGTATTAAAATTCGTGACAGTATGCTAACGTGCTTAAGCGTGTGACCAATTTCCGGTCACACGCCAAAGGTCATACGATCTTGTGCGATGTTTATCATCAGCCGACGAACGATTGAAGTGATGAAAGGTTTTCAAAATCGAAGGCATTAGTTTGCGATGAATTTTCAATCTTTTGGCCTCCTGACTGAAGTAAAAACTCTTGCAACTCTTGCTTCTAAAGGACCGCAGTGACGTGTTGTGTCTTTATTTCGATTCACGGCCGGATTCTGGCGCAGTCGCTGAGCAAACGTACGTTTGTCTTTTGGACCTTTTGGCTTAAAATTATGGATTTTGTGACTCAAACCGACGCAACAAAAGTTGGAAATAACTTTCCTTGCCGTAAAAACCTGTTACAAGCAATGGTGAGTAATCCTTTCATGTAAAACCTTTCTTTTAGTTTGGCAACCGTCCGCAAGCCGTCTAATTTGCATAACTTTCCCAATTCAATTGCTCTCACCGCTTGCTTTGGTGTCAGGATGGTATTTGATTTCCAGAGCTAAAACTTTCCAGTAAGTTAGTACAAAAGCCAAGGTTCCATTTTATATTGATTTTATGATCAAGCGGCATATACCAGAGGCCTTTTTTAATAGTCAAAGTTGGCCTTCGTTTTCTAGCATGTCTAACGTCACAAATATGACCTCTTTAGACTTGTCGAT